GCCAGCCAGCTGCAGCTGCTAGCATTCAGGCTGCCAGGCAGGCAGCTAGGCAGGTCTCAGCCATCGCCTGCTGCTTTAGCTTCAGCACACGCTGCGTATGCTCAATATATATTGTGATGATGGCCACGTAGCTGGTTAGTTGAACTGTTGTCGGCGAAAAAGTTTGCACAAGAAATTCGAGCAATGATGAAGTGTTTTTATTGTGTTTATTGGCATGCGTTTTTAATGAAGCAAACAGTCAAATGGAAAATAGCTGCGGGCCGACTAAGAACTAAGGGCAAAGCCGGAGGATTCTTAGCAATCGGCATACAAACAACTCTATTATGTACACATATACATACATATACATATATATAAATTTGTTTATGTTAAATGAAACTTTTTTCATTAAAACTCTTGAAACGAAGAACCTGAAGTACCAGCTGGATAAGTGAGTGCAAAATGTTATTTTATTGTCAACAAGCAAAGTTACAAAGGGCCGAATTGTTGAAGCGGAGGGGGCAGGGGATGGGTATGGAGTAGGGGCGAGGGAAGGGGCAGAAGCGGGAGCCAGAGAGCTGCCAAAATATATTTAATATGCAATATAAACACAGAGCAATGGCAAGCAGTAACAAGGACACAAGGACAACAACATGACACGCTCATAAACTCATTTGGGGCGCTGGTACAACAACAACAACAACAATATCTTGCTTGTCATGCTCGTTCAGGAAGTGAAACAGAGTATATCGGTTTTGTAATGCATTAAATACATGTATTAATATATATTATATATCGGCTTATAGTAAACATGGCTATATATATTAATATATTAAGAGACTTAAATTTTTTATTTATTTTTGACATTTTACCTATTTTATTTATTTTAAATGATCCTGAAAAAATCATATTGCTCATGAGCATTATCGTTAATGATAATTAACAGCAATAATCATGAAAATAAATGATGACTACTCTGAATTATCATTATTGCTAATCAACATTACGACAAACTTCATTATTATAATAATAATAAGTGTTTATTAATAATAATTAAAAGTTACTAACATACTAAAAATAAAATATTTAATAAACATTGATCATTGTACATTGACCAAAAACATGAAAAACTTTAATATATATATATATATATATATATATATACATTTCTCAGCTAACCATAGAACTAAATACAAAACTTGGTGGCTTTAGATCTTACGCAGTACGAGATATAAATTAATAATTGCATTTCGATCATGAAATGATTTAACTACTTTTGCAGCGCGAACGAGTATTATGCCGTCGGTATCGCTTTCGTACTTATTTTTTTAGAAGGACAGCAAAGAATTTTTTAATAATACCTCAAGGATTTCACAGTGTAAGGAAAACATCAAATATACATAAATGTTCCGCTTGTTGTTGGTTGTTGTTGTTTATGTCAAAAGTCACAGCTAACCCACAACTGTGCCCACAACTTTTTTCATTAATTTTAGTAAAACGAGACAGAGCGAGAGCCGACTTCTGGCGCATTAGCCATGGCGATTAAGCACTGCCTGCTCCGGCTCTTGCTGTCAGTCTATAAAAAATTTTGCCAGCAGTCATTATCAATTTATGCCCCAAAAGGTTAGCTGCCGGCTGGGACTACAGTAAAATTTGTTGCTGGTGCCAAAATTGAATTGTTTAATAAAATATAGCCCACTAAGCCCCCAGGCTCATCTATGGTTAAATCTGCTGTCAAATATACCAAATACTCGGTATTTCTTCGTGCAATTAGCAATGGAATTTGTTTTTTCTTAGACTCTGGCCACTCTGTGGTATGCATATGCAATTGTGTCTGAGGTATTTTTTTATGGTATTTTTGTTGTCCTTGTTGTAGCTTACGCCCTTTGGAATTTATTGCGCATTTCAGTTTGAAAAACATTTTTGTGGTAGTTTTGTTGTAAATATGTATTTAAGTTTTGCTTAATAAGGAATTCACTTGTCTTAAGCCATTGGAAATTGGAAATGAATAACTTGTTGTTGCTTTAGGGATCTGCCATTTTTAAGATTTATGTAACTGATCTGCTACTCTACTACTCCCCTACTCTACTACTACTCTACTACTCTACTACTCTACTACTACTCTACTACTCTACTACTCTACTACTCTACTACTCTACTACTCTACTACTCTACTACTCTACTACTCTACTACTCTACTACTCTACTACTCTACTACTCTACTACTCTACTACGCGACGACGCGACGACGCGACGACGCGACGACGCGACGACGCGACGACGCGACGACGCGACGCCGCGACGACGCGACGACGCGACGACGCGACGACGCGACGACGCGACGACGCGACGACGCGACGACGCGACGCCGCGACGACGCGACGACGCGACGACGCGACGACGCGACGACGCGACGACGCGACGACGCGACGACGCGACGACGCGACGACGCGACGACGCGACGACGCGACGACGCGACGACGCGACGACGCGACGACGCGACGACGCGACGACGCGACGACGCGACGACGCGACGACGCGACGACGCGACGACGCGACGACGCGACGACGCGACGACGCGACGACGCGACGACGCGACGACGCGACGACGCGACGACGCGACGACGCGACGACGCGACGACCGCGAGACGCGACGACGCGACGCCGCGACGCCGCGACGACGCGACGACGCGACGACGGACGACGCGACGACGCGACGACGCGACGACGACGACTACTCTACTACTCTACTACTCTACTACTCTACTACTCTACTACTCTACTACTCTACTACTCTACTACTCTACTACTCTACTACTCTACTACTCTACTACTCTACTACTCTACTACTCTACTACTCTACTACTCTACTACTCTACTACTCTACTACTCTACTACTCTACTACTCTACTACTCTACTACTCTACTACTCTACTACTCTACTACTCTACTACTCTACTACTCTACTACTCTACTACTCTACTACTCTACTACTCTACTACTCTACTAATCTACTACTCTACTACTCTACTACTCTACTACTCTACTACTCTACTACTCTACTACTCTACTACTCTACTACTCTACTACTCTACTACTCTACTTCTCCACGACTCTGCTACTCTATTAAAATTAAGACTTTAAGTCGATGCGCCCATCTTCCTGTTGCTTTAGTGCTAACTAAAAAGTATTTTTGTAACAATTTTCAAACATTTTCCTGCTCTGTAGCTCATGTGACCGCAGCTGCGACAGCGAATTCTTTGGCTCAAACCAACCGAGTGCATTCTGGCCAAAAACCGAAAAAAGTAGAAAAGAGTCAAAGCCATGCATATGTATGACGCATGTTGTTAATGGCATTTCCGAATGGAAAACTGGCCAAAAGAAAACTTGCTTACTAAAAAAAAGAAGGGAAAACCTAAAGCTAAAGCTAAAGCTAAAGGGAAGAGTCATCATCAAAAAATGAAGCTAAGTGCTGTATCCTGTAGCTGTTGCCACAATCGCATCTGGAATGCTCTTTGCCCGTGTAGCCCGCTGCGGTTGAAGTGAGCTTGCAGCAGAGCGCACTGCCAGCGAGGGCTTAAGCTGAATGTTGGCTTAAAGCCAGACCGGGCCAGGCCAGCACAATATGTGCATAACTTTCGCTTTCCGTTTGAAAGTCGCTACACACAGCAAATGCCAGGCATATAATCTCTGACCCAAATCCCTCTATCCACGTCGCCTACGCCGGGGGCGACGCCTTAAAGACATAAGCAAACGGGGTCACACTTACCTGAGGGTAGTTATGCTAAGCAAATATTGGCACTTGCTTCAATAAACCCGGCTGAGGCTGGGGCTGAGTCCTGGCGTGGATAAAACGGGTCACAAGCCGCAGTTATGGCAGCTGGGACTAAGCTTCACATTTTCCTGTAGCAAGTAGCGAAAATCGGAGCCATTTAATTGCAAATGCCAAAAAAGGAGCTTTAATGGCCTTCAAGTGGGCGAGTATGTGTGGGCGTGGCACTTTGCGCTTGAATTAACAAATTAATGCAAATCAACTTGGAGCTGCTGCTGCTGCTGCTGCTGCCATCATCTAATGAATATTTATTAACTTTTTCTTTACACTCTTCACTCTCATCTCCCGGTCAGCCGTACCGCGTCCTCTCGTCCTACGTCCTCCATCGCTTGTTGTTCTCTCTTCTTTTTCGGTCTCTGAACAGCTGCATTTCGATTTTCAAGCTCTAATTTAATTGCAGCAGCAAGGACAACAGCATCCGCATCCGCGTCCGCTTCCGCCGAGGCACAACATCCGCCAGCAGCTGACAATCGCATTACTATGCGCCGCCTTGATGGATGAGCTTCACTTCAGCTACGCCCACTCGGCTGAAGTTAGTCGATCCACGGCAACCTGTACAGGTGGACGAGCATTGCTGCTGCCGGCTCTGCTCGTGCTTAATGCACTCATTTAATTGCATTATGCCGCAGGTCCTTGCATTGCCTCAAAGTGCGGCTGGGCTGCTGGCAGGTGGCAAGTAGCATGTCGCATGTGGCATGTGGCAGCTGCTACTTCTGCTGCTCCTCACTGTCACCAGCCAGTTGTCGCACTCAACAATAACAATAAGCAAAGTGCTTCAGCTGGGAGTAAGCGACTTGGGAGATACCCTGAGAGAGAATTGTTATCGATATTAATGAATTAGCAAAAGTCAATGGATATATCGATACGCATTGATTTAGACTTCAAGTTACTTGAGCTTCCATCTCTAAGAGTTTTGCTTTCAATAGAGTAGATAGCAGTAGGAGGATCGTATACCCAATCTTAAATTACACACACAGCATAACAGACTTAAAATACCCTTTGATAGAGTATATCGTATAAGCACTGCATTAATTTGCATGCGAGAAAACAACTTCTTCGTACCCTTACAATGTTTTCACTCCTTGACTTTAATGAAGTCAAGAAGATGCGGCTGCTCGTAAAGCGAGCGCAAAACAAGAAAAAATGAATAATGCTTTGCATTTATAATCACAAAAGCAGGAAACGTATAATTAAAGATGTCTTTCATCTCCTTTGCATACATCATAGAAGAATTGCACTTAAATACTGAAGCAGCGGCAGCTGTTGGCTTTGGCTTGGAGCTGTTCCGAGTCTCGCGACAGCTGGACACAGCAGCTGGGCTGTTCATCCAGGGCCGTCACCTGCTGACCCTTGTCCAGCCAATCGATGAACGCATTCACGCCGAAATTTCCCATTTTGGTGCGCAGCATGTGATGAGCCATGGCCGCCTCATCGTTGTTCCGATAGATGATGATATAGACATAGCGCTTGGGCTGGTATTCATAGACGCACAGCTTCACATAGTGGCTGATCAAGCGTAGCTCCTGGTGCACCTGCAGCGGTGTCAGATGATTGACATTGTTGAGGAAAAGTGTTTTGCGATTGCGCGACTCGCGCACCTGAATTTTCAATCGATCGAGCCGAAAGCGATGCTGCAAGCTAGTGATTAAAGAAAGTTAAACATTTTTATACAAGTAGATTGTCTAAAAAATAACTGAACCCATGACAACGCAATGCCAGTTGCTACGATCTACGCTTACATTTCCATCGCCAGCGCCTTTCGCCTCGCATCGATGTACTGCAGGTAGGCATAGCCGCGGCTGCTGCCCGAGAAGTCAATCTTGAAGCGCAGCATATAGACATCGCCCAGCTCGACAGCCACCTGCATTATGTGATCCGCCGTGCAGCGCTTGTGAATGCGTGTTAGAAACAGCTATAAAGAAAACTTAATATCAAATATTTTTTAGTATATAAAGTCTTCACCTCGTCTGCGCCCGATTCGAGCTCGGCGAGCCTTTTGGCATCCAAGGACAAGCAACTGGTCACATAAATGGTGCCATTTACTTGACTTTTGCGATATTTGTGCTGCGAATTGAAATCCATTTCAACAAAGTGCAAAACGCGTGCGCAGAAGCTTTGGCTGTTGCTGGCGGTGTTGCCAGCTGCAATTTTGAGATGTGCAAACTACGCAGCGTTGCCAGCTGCTTTTGAGACGTGAGCATTGCTGGAATGGCAAATACAATATTGCTTAGAGATGACCTACGGTCTTTTGAGCTCTTCAATGCGATATGCATAAGTGTATCAGTGAGCAGTCAGAGCAAAGGCAACAAACGCAGAGACAATATATAATATATATATTTATCCATATGGATAATTTATGTTGCCTCGCCTGCCAAAAGCTTCTGAGATACGACATTAGCAATGGTAATATTTAGTAAGAGAAAATTAAATATATATATGGATAATTTAAGTTGCATTGCTTTTGTGATACGACACTAGCAAACGTTAATACTGATCAGCATTGCTGCACGTTCGCATGGCAATTGCTGCCATCTTGAATTTGACAAGCAAATGCCGAGTCGCAGCTGCCTTATGTTCACTTTGCAGTGCTGGCAGATTTTGTTTCGACAGTGTTGCCATATCAATGCAATTTTAAATAAAATACCAAACGAAAACATGCCAAAAAGCATAACAATTTTATATTTGGTATTTAATAAAAGTGTTTTCAAGGACTAATCGCAGCGCCACTGTTGTTGTTATTGCCGTCTTGGCATTGTTGTGGACAGGTGGCGCGTGCTTTTTTTCTAGCTCATGCCTAACAATATAAATTAATGCAGGCCACACGCACACACCTGCTTCGCTAGCCACAGACCGCAGCACCTACACTTTGTTAGTTGTTGTTGCGGCTGCGGTTAGGCCGCCCGCTGCTGGCAAGCTCAAGCTCTAGCTGAGAGTAAGAGCCGTTCCGCTGCACTCAAGTGCCTGCTGTTGGCTGTAGCTGCGGCTGCGGCTGGTGCTGGGGCTGGGGCTGCTTCATTTTCCTAATTTATACGCGCGCAACGCTAATGAAAATTTGCGTAACAAGGCAAACCACATGCTTTGTTGCTAGCGCAGCCATCGCAGCCAGCTGCCTTTGTGCTTATTGTAAATGACATGGCGTTGGTTTCTGGCACTTGAAGGTGCATGCGGCGCCGCTTGGTGCTCCACTTGATGCCTTCGCCTGCGGTTGGGAAAGTTATGCGCGGTTGCAGTTCGCCTGGAGGCAGCCGTCATAATCCTGTCATGGCCTGCTACAGCGTCCTTGATAAATTGTTGAAGCCACTTACTAACCTGAGAAACTCTGTCTAGGGACCGAATTCAATCGATATTTGGATACCCAGCAGTTTATATCTAGTTTTCAAACTTCACTCCTGAATAAATAGTAGAATAATCAAATTCAAGCAATGATAAAGGAACCCGATGAGAAGCGGTTGGATCGCCACTTCAGGCAACAACTGGAGGAATATGATACGATCTTCAAGCAGGAAGCTTGCGTGTCGGATCAATGCATTATTTCATGTTGGCTGCAGATCTTCAAGGCAGCGCCCAAGGCAGAAAAGTGGGCTAGGAATAGTTTGATGCTGTTGATGTACGGCCACCTGAAGGAGGTTGGCTATCTACAGGTGCCCTTTACGGATAGGCGCAACGTGGGCCGGAATCTTAATGAAATACTGGATGGGTATTCGGGATTGCCTGTGACAAATAACGACAAATACACACGAGTCCTAACGCCTGTTCGCGAGGAGGGGACGCCGTCTCAAACTGAAGCTGAAGACTTGACGAAAGCCAGTGAAGAGTTCACTCCCAAGAGCCAGACTTCTAAGCAACTATTGAGAGCTCCGTCAAATATCGCAGAGAACACACTCGACGATGGGAGCAACGGGCATACTACGAGCTTCGCTTCTCTCTCTCAGAACTCTCACAACGTGCTATACGACACCTTCGATTCCCACACGTGCTACCTACACAAGGGTGAGCTTGATGAGTGTGCGGCGGAGAGCAGGAGAATGCTGGCGGTGGAAGCTGTAATTCAATCTATGCAACGGCTGAATAGAACTTCATTGGACGTTATACCCGAAGAGGGAGCCAACACGGTGACTGCTGAAGATCACTGCTATGCGAAGCTTGTCACGAACATTTTCAAGGCTAACAAAAAGAAGTATAACGAAAGGCAGCTTGAGGAAAATACTTCCAGTCTAGGTTCTAGCGAGCCGATGGCAGAGCCCAAAGCAACTGTGGCTAGGCCAAAGGCGACAGTTCTCATAAAGCCAACTTCAAGGCGCTCGACAGCGCGTGAACCGCCTGTAGAATCGGCTAGACGTGAAGCCTGCGATGCTGAGTTGATGTTTCTGCGCCAACGCAACAAGCAGCTGCGGCGCGAGTGCCTCATCTACTACCACAAGAACGGGAATCTACGCAAACATCCCAAGTACCCGAAGCCCAAGCTGCAGACTGTGGGGTTTCTAGTGTCCGCCTATCGAGCGCATTATCATTTCACTCGCTGGCATCCACAGATCAGCCATCGCTTTCCCCAGGAGTACAGTCGGACGAATGGCTGGCGCACCTATCGAAACATTCTGCTAGCCAGCGCTGTGCCGCGTTGTATCCTCCGGCAGGTGCCGGACTCCGAACGCTCCTGCACGACCCACCACATACCACACATATCGCCGGTTAAGATGGGCGACAGCCGAATCAGCACATACGAGCTGCACTACCTCTTAGCCCGACTAAAGGCCAAAAAATTAAGCATTGGTAGGGAATTTGCATTGTAAGCCAACAATGCAAGCTAAAATAAAATTAAACAAAAACGAATAAAAAAGTAAGTAAATTAAAATAAAATTATAAATTAAAGTTAATTAATATTAATGTGGTTAAAAGTATTTGATAAAATTATATAAATAAAACATATTATATAAAAAAATATATAATATATATTTTAATAAAAATATATTTTAAAATAATTATGATTATAAGTAAGCTGAAATAAATTAAGTTATATAGAAAAAAATAAATATAGGAAAAAATAAATATAATTTAAATAAAAATATATTAAAAATACATAATTTATTGTAAACTATAATTAATAAATGGAATTATTTATTTTTGCAGCCAGCTGCAAGTTAATTAATTCCAATTCGTATTATTTTTTAATTAGTAATCGAGCTGAAAAGCAACAATAGCCTCGGGGCTGCCAGCTGAAAATCTGCTCGTAAACAGCGGCTAATATTTTTTAATTATGCAACAGAGCACACACAACAACAACCGCAACAGCAACAACAACAGAAACAGCAACAGCAATAGCGACCACAAATAAAATGGCTGCCAGCTGCACGACGCCGCCGCCATTTTGTAAGCAGCTGAAATTAGCGGGCGCATAAAAGAAGCCAACGGAAACAAGCAAAGCGAGAAACAAAATGGAAATGTCGCCAAAAGCAGTTGCAGGCAGTCGTTGTCGTTGCAATTGTTGTCGTTGGGCGAGGGCGTGGGCGTGGTCAAGCGGCAATTGCAAATGGTCAATGAACTTGGCGCATTGCTGAAGTAACTGCGGCACAAATTTACTTGCCACAGCTACAGTGGAGCAACGTTAGAGTGGAACATGGAAAAAATTACAATTAAATACAAGAAATTTGATTTTTCAAATGATGGCTATAGGCATATGTATACTATAGATAGTTGAGGTTAGATTTTGAAAGAAAATACTCAAGGTATTTTGAAAATACCAAAAACTTTGCACGAGTGTTGGGCTCTTTTAGCTCCTTAAGTACTAAGGGATCTTTTATTATTCAGTATTTTTTCCATTTCTGAAAATACCCAATATTTAGACAGAATTCTTCTAGTGTTGGGCAACTTCAAAAGTGATAATTGAAGACAATTGCTTGAGTTCACAGCGACTCTACTCCATGGGAACTTCAAAGTAGCAAGCTACCCAGCTTACAGTGAGCATATTTAGCACACACTGTGTGTATATGTGTGTGGATATATAGTGGCAGTAAATAAGATATATACCCGAGTATGCATATATTGCAAATGGCTTCATCAGCTTCTGACTATGCAAATTTATGGTCTATATTTAGGCATTTTGCACACAACGTACACAGCGTTCCGTCTGCGGCTGCATAAATTAATTATTTATGGCTTGTGAAACATGTTGCTTAACTTTGTCACAAACGTCCAGCCCCTGCCAATGTCGCTTCGTAGTTAAAGCTGACACAACAACAACTACAACTATAATAACAACAACATTAGCAACATCATCATCAACGTTTGTTTGTTCAGTTTGCGAATTTTGTGGCCTAGAGCCGTGTTGATTGGAGGCAACGCCCAGAGGGCTTATCTAATAGAATTGATCGCAAAATATGGTCTTGTTTTTAAGTTTTCTTTTATATTATTTGTATTCTCTTCTTCTCTCTCTCTTTCTCTCTCACTCTCTCCCGCTCTGTCCTGTTGGCGTCCCATTTTCATGCATGGCACGCACACATAATTATAATTTTTACAACGTCTAAATAAACGCAAATTTCTTATGCACAAAGGCAACTCAGACATTGGGCCTCGCTGTTAGGGCTAGAGCGGGGGCTTTGAGGCGGGAACTCAATGGAGCTGCTCAGCGCGCTCTGTGGCTATTTGTAATGAATGACAGTCCAAAGAAGGCATCCGATACGTTTGCAAATTCTACAAAGAGTATATGTGCCTTGATGGGGTATCATGAGTTGGCTGGCCAGTTGCACAGGATGTGTGTGTGGAGCAGTGTTGGAAAACGATTTGTGCATGTGAGAGTCAGACAAAGGAACACTTTTGTGAAGAACTTAGGTAACTTCGCTAATCAGATCATTTTTTGTTAGAGATAGGGAAAATAGTGTTGGAAAACAATCAGTTAATATAATAAATTCTAAGATAGAATTATGAAAGTTAGAAAAAGTAGAAAATTTTAGCGTGGCTTAGGTTTATTTCTAGTTTCTGATACATCACGAATGAAGGTATACGAAAGGTAGCATTAAAAGTAGTGTTGGAAAACAAGATGTATATTTAAACTAGTGTTGGAAAACTAAGAATGCTTGTTAAAAAAATTAAAGAGAGCTTATGGATTAAATTATGGCTTAATTTCTGTCAATGGTTAAATTTCTGTGCATATCAAATACTATAAAGCTAATAAAACCATTTAAGGAGCATACTAAACAAAGTACAAGAGCAGTGTTGGTAAATGAAATTACATAGATTTTAACTTAACTTAATATTAAAGCGAAACATATTCTCTTAGAATTTCAATTGAAGATCTAGATAAGAAAAAGAAAAAAAAAGGCTAAAATCAGTGTTGGTAAACGGCTTATGAATGCTGGCTTAATGGGAGAGCAAGCTACATTCTTTCATAAGTTTATCATGACAAAGATTAACTCTAAGAAGTATTACTGCATTTACTAGTGGCTAAAATATTAGCCAGGGTATTTATATATTTGTATACTTTTGATAATGTAGTTCTTATTGCTGATTCTTTATTTAACAATTTGATATAGCATTACAATATAATTTATGCGCTTTATTGCGCTCGGTAACAGCCAGCAGCGACATATTAATGACTCTCTCACGCTCTCCCCTGACTGACTGACTGACGTCAGCTGGGCAGTCGGGCAGCCAGCAGCCAGTCCAACTGGGCGAAGGCTATAAATATGATTGACATGGCTGCTCAGTTTGTCAATCAAATTTTGGATATCAGACGTGCAACACTTGCCTGGATACAATGCTGTTCAAGGTGCTGCTGGTGAGTGTGATCAGCGCTCTCGCTCTCCTCAAATGTATATCTCTCTCCCTCTCTCTCCGTCTCTTTTCTCTGGACAGCTCTCATTGTTGCTCTGCTTGAGTGGCTGCGCGGCTAAGCCACACTTGCTGGCCGCCACGCCAGTTGGCTATGCAACGCCAGCTGGCAGCTGGCTAGCTGCGACGGCAGCTGCAGTGCCAGTTGCTGCCACGCCCGCAGCCTACTATCCGGCCTATGCGTCGTATGCGTACGCGCCTGTCTATTATGGCTCATACGCCGCGTATCCCGCCTACTATCCATACTTCAGACGCTGAGCCTGTTGCTGTTTGATATATACTTGATATATATAAATGAGCAGCGCTGTATTGTCGAACGACAAAATTGATTACATTTTGTCTGAGTGTGTGTGTGTGTGTGTGTGTCTGCCTGTGTGCGTGTGTGTGTGAGCGCGTGAAAATCTCATATTTTACGCTGTTTTTGCGTTGATTCGATTTGGCGGCTGCTGTAAATAAAATAAAAACAGTTATGAAATCAACACACACACATACACACATACATGCATACATATACATATACATATATATATATATATATAGAATAATAAGCAAATCAATAAAAAGGCAGCCGTATGTACGCGTGTTTCTTTGTAGCTTTGCAGCAAATGTATCCGTGGCTGTATCTGTATCTGTATCTGTATCTGTGCATGTAAATGTATGTTGTATGCTTGCTGCCGCTGCTGCCAACATTGGCTGAGGGATTTTCATTTGGTCCTTTGAAATTTGCTTACATGTGCGCATATTTTCACCTGCTCGTCTTGCCTTCAGCTGCCTCAGAATGTGTCTTGCGTCTGTCAGTCTGCATGTCTCTCTCGCTCTCGCTCTGTGTGGGTGTCTTGGTAACCCGCTACTGATTTACCTTACGTGTATAAATCTTTTATTCATGTAATCCATTTGAAAACACGTTTGCACATGATTGTGTTTATTTCGAAACGGCAGCAGTCCCAGCAGATTGTGCCAGGTGCACACACAGGTGTGTGCGTGCGTGTATGTTTGTCTGATTTGAAAAATCGTCAAAATTATATAAAGTGAATACAAATTTTATTTACTCAATTTTTATGGCTCTGCCAGTTGTGTGAAAACAAGCAAAAGCAAACAAAGGAAAACATTTGCTCGCATTTCGTTTCTCATTATGCTGCGAGCTTTGTCCAAATAGTTTTTCACTCTGATTTGGCTTTTTTCCACTTTTCCACGTTTCCACTTTTCCATTTTATTTTCCTTATTTTCATTGCCACCAACTTACTGAACAGCAAATTTGATGTGCCCAAATAATAGTCAATTTTTGCTATAAATCATATATATGTATATATAGTTTAACCTCTCGAAATTGTACACAATTTTAATAAAATATTTATTAAATTATTTTTTTATAGTAAAAATGTAGTCGAGCGTGGAATAGATAAATGTATATATAATTTAATATTTTAAGCAAAAACTTTTTTTGAATAGGCAACCGGTAAGAGTGCTCTAGTCGGGAGTAACCGACTAGCAAATACCCTGAACCGAAAATACCCTATCCGAAAGTGACTTAGTCAGTGTCTTTAGCGCAGAAACTCTTTCAGTAAATTTGATTTGTTCAGTTTTCAATTAAATGCGAACGGACAGATCGATGGACGAACATGATGAGATCGACTCAGCAGTTTGTTCTGATCGGAAATGCATATTCTTTAGGGTCTCTGCCACGCCTCCTTCTGCCTGCTACACACGTATATGCAAAACGAATATGCCCTGAATTGCCATTTTTAAAGGCAAATCGATTCGATCGAGTCATCATTTGTTCGCAACAATTTGAACTTGCTTGCAAGCCGGATTAAATTTAACATGAGCTCAAACTTCAGGACAGGCTAAAAGTTAGTCAGCCGCTGGCTATGCCATTTATCATACCCCACTGCTGCTGTGCACAGGGCAGAGTGCATTAGGGAATCCGGAAAACATGGCGATATTAAGGCAGCAAAGTTTTCAGCTTGACGCTGTTTTATTGAATAAAAGGTCATTAAATTTGGACGCTATCTGTAGCCGTGAAGTTGTGAAAATGCTGCACTGGATGCAGCACCCCTCGCTCCCCGCACCCCCAGGGACGCCCTTGGCATCGCTTTTTTACAAGACTTTTCCGCTTACGCTGCACAAAACTTTACAACTACTTGGCATTTACTACCTGAGCAGAGGATGAGCCGAGCTGGGAGCTCGGAAGATGAGTGGCGGCGGGCAGAAGATGCCAAAGTTATGATAAGCAGCAGCAGCGCCAACGCTGTCGCCCTCGTCAGTCTCCAGCTGCGTTGCCCGGGGCGCCTCTCAAGCTCTCGACGCGCAGCTGCAGGGGAGCCAAAGTCAAGCAGAAAACTTGCCTGCCGCTGGGCAGGAAGCGCTGAAAGGAAGCATATTTCATATAAAGAAATCCCTTTTTAAATAGTGGAAAGTGCGCCAGCTGCGCTGCCCAGATCCTTAAATTCCGATAGCGACAGAGATGTCATAAGCTAATGACTTGCAGCTGTCCTGCAGACAGCTTCAGCAGGAGCTGCTGGCGGGGCACTGTTTGATGAAGCTCGAGCCACACCGATATGCCCTCTGCCAGCTGCTGTTTACAGGGCAGCACAGAGTAGTTGCTGTTGCCATGCCAAAGCACATTGAAGCGTGAGTCGTGCCAGCCGAGCATTAACTCAACTCGAAAGCGCTCAGCCCCAACCCAAAGGCCATTTCGATCAACTAATTTACTGCAGTTCGCTTTTGGGTATATAGAAAATTGTTTATTTACACTTGCGGAGGTCAAGACGTGGACACATTGGAGCGCTTTACTTCTTCAGCAGCAGCGAGGGGCTGGCATAGGCAGCGGCCACAGGTGCAGTGTAGGCGGCAGCCAGAGGAGCGGAGTAAGCAGCAGCCAGAGGAGCGGAGTAGGCGGCAGCCAGAGGAGCGGAGTAGGCAGCAGCAACTGGAGCAGTGTAGGCGGCGGCAGCAATGGGCGCAGTGTAGGCAGCTGGGAAGGCAGCGCTATGGGCCACCTGATGAGCGCTATAGCTGGAGGCATAGGGTGCCACGTAGGCGGCGCTGCCGACCACAGCTGGTGCGGTGTAGGCCAAAGGAGAGAGAATGCCGGGCTTAGCAGAAGCCACAGCCACAACAGCGAAGAAGCAGACGGCGAACTGCAAAGATGAACAATTAGAGTTGGAACTGGAACTGGAACTGGAACTGGAGCAGGAGCAGGAGCAGGAGCAGGAGCTACTTACGAATTTCATGTTGAGTTTTTTGGTTGTTTTTGGGTTGTTAACTGTGGAAGTTGTGAGCGTTGATTGATATTGATTTTGACCAAGTGGGGAGCTTTTATAGCTGACGAGTGACGCATCGCAGGGGCCCTCGAGTGAAGGTTGCACTTACAAATGCAGTGGGCATAGCTGACGACGACTTGGCAGCTCAGCTTATTGGGCCAAATATTTTGCTGTTGTTGTTGTCGCATGTAGATCGCATTTGGCACGTGCGCGTCGGCCTTTTGGTAATTTGATTAGGTTTTTGCGCAAAAAAAAGCAATTGAAATGCGGCTTCCTCGCCAGCTCCACAAAAGCCATAAACCAATTATAAAATACAAAAAAAAAAACTTTTGGAAATATTCAGCACGAAACGGCAGCGCCTCAGGCTGCAGGCAGGAGTTGGGAGCGGGGGCAGCACCAGGACAAAGGAGTTGTACCAGGGCAAAAAAGTTTTCAATTTATATTGAGCGCAAATTGAGCGCAAAAAACATTTATTTTAGTTAAGTTGAGTTTCAAATAATAATTTGCATGAGATGAGATGGAATTAGATATTTGAGTAGACATTATGAGGCTTCAGATCAGATAGAAACAATGTGTAAAGCCTAAGAAAGGTTTTTGAGTTTTGTTTGTGCTTAGAAATAAAGCGAATTTTACTCTAAAGAAATTATTATTTTATTTTTATATATGTTTTACTATTTTATTTCATCATTTCATATCAAATTGAAAGAAAATTTCAAAGAATTTTTGTATAAAATTAAAAATTAAATAAAATAAAAATAAATACAAATTTAACTAGAATTTATTTAGAATTTCTTATTAAATTTTTGCTTTATTTTGTTTATTAATTATTTGCAAATTTTATAAAATATAGTATAGTATATACTATAGTATAGACTAATGTACTATAGTATAGACTAATGTTAAATAGTTTTTTTTTTCTTTTTTCCACTACTATTTTAATGAACATGTTTTTTTCATGTTTTTTCTCAAGTTCAAAAATGACTAAATTAATAATAATATATATTTATATTAATATGCGTTTCAAATTGCATTTAAGATATTGTGTTCATCACTAAATCATTATTTAATGCTCAGTCGCACTACTAATTTAATGAACACAGCTGTACCCATGTGAGCCTTAGCTTGATATCGATAATTATCGGTCTTATTCAACTTCGCTTGTCATTGAAACGCTTTCAAATTGTTTATAAAAGAAACTAATATTTTGAACAGGAATATATTTGATATATAAGACATAACTTCATATATAGGCCAGCGTAAAGGAATCAAGTTTTATATAGATCTTTTATTCTCTGCTGCAGCCCTGGTTTTTATGGCCTTAGCATTTGGCAATGGCTCAATCCTCAATCCTGCTGCGTGGTTATTGTTGTTGTTGCTGGCACTTTATCATGAATAATTTGCTGAAACCACTTAAAGGCAGCAGCCGCTGCCGTCAAATGTCGCACGCATTTCTAGACAAATTCAAAACAAAATTTATAATAGACTTGCCCTGTGTGTGCGTGTGTGTGTGTGTGTGTGTGTGTGTGTGTCACTCACGTTTTACGGCACTTGAGCGACGCATTAACGCGCGCGCACAGCTGCTGCCACGCCCAGCTGCTAGACGCCTTTATTAGGGGCAATAAAGCGAGTACATAAGGCAGGGTTCAATAGGCAGGAGGCGGGGCAGCTGAACAGGAGGAGGGAACTGTAGAGCGTGTACAGCGAGCGAATATGCCAAGTCCTTGTTGCTAGAGGACGAGCTTTGTGTCGGGCGGTTTTTTTTTTTTTGTTGCGTTGCTCCTTTTTTGTGCACATTTCTCTTTTAATTACTCGCTGCCACTTAGTCAGGCGGCAGGCGGCGAGAGGGAGTAGGGAGTAGGGAGTATGGAGTAGGGGCGTGGGGCAACTCCTTTGATATGTTGCCAGCGCTGTTGGGTCACTTGAGAATTGTCGCGTCGCACTTGAAATAGGGTTTTGGTTTTTGTGTGATCAAAGCTTTTAGACGGATTAACCAATATGCGCCATTTACTTGACAATGAAAGCGTTGCCACATTGTGCGGCATGCCACGCCCAAGTCAAGTGGTGAAAGCAAATATGAGGCAGTTGCCGCCTGCTGCTTAATTTCAATAGCTGCTGCATCATGATTGTGCACTTAGTAGGCGTCTGCCACGCCTACGACAAAATATTCTCTGTTGCATATGCACAGTCACAAGGCAAACACTTGAGGCAAGCCGCCCTCCTGCCCCCGCTAAAGCCAAACAAATGCTTCAGCGACATCAGCAACATCATCATCAACAGCAGCAGCAGCAGCAGCAGCAACTGAAATATTTGCAGCACAACTTTGTTGGCATGTTATAGACACCCACTACAAACCAACCCTTGCTGCCGCTGCCACCCCTTGCCGCATGCCACGCAGCCTGCGCTCGATTCTTGCGAAATCGCGTAATTGGCATTTTTAAGCAAAATTCACGCTTCAACACTTTTTCGAGTGTGTGTGTGAGTGCATGTGTGTGTGTGTGTTGTAAACACCTTGACAGCAACACACCTACACACACACATACACACACACATCCTCTCGATACGTCTAATTAGTGAGTTTTTAAGCGCTGCATTTGACTCAACCCCCGCCGCACTTTGTCAGGGGCTCGCATATCGCACATTTTTAGTCTCCCCCTTTGCAATTTATGACATTTGTTAATTAATTTTCCATTGAATTGCAGATGGCGTGAGCTGACTTTATCCCTATATATATATATATATATATATAAATATGTATATATGTGTATATAAGCTCTTAGGTACTTTGACTGGATTGATAGGGTCTTTGGTGGGGCATTAGTTATGGTAATTGGTGCGTACGGTCGGGGGTCGTACTGTATGCTATATTATGTGCATATGGCGTATAAACAGTTAATCAAGCTGAGCGCAAAATTCATTGAAATTGCGTATACGTAATAATTGGAAATATGCGCAGGCAAATAGTTGAAAACATTGTATTGAAATACTGCATGATATTGACAGCATGTGGAATTGCTGAGCTTTAATTAAATTGAATAAATTTACATAAATAAAAACATATATGTAATAACTTTCTTTTTTATATTTTTTTTAATCAAAACTGTAATCAGTGTAAATTGCAGCAAAAAATTCTCTTAGTTTAGTTCATTTTTGTTATTTCCTATTTAAAATACCAAATAATACCAAAACACATTATTTATGATACAAAACTTGCACTTCTTAAGCTGCAATCCTAGCTTTGAAAACAGTCTGGCTACACTCTCCAAATGCATTGAATTAATATGCAAAATAATACCGAAAAGCGTTAATTATGACACAAAATGTCCCAATTCTTAAGCTGTATGCCTAGCCTTAAGAACAATCTGGCAACACTTTTTACATGTAAACACAAATCAAACATAAGCCAAATATAACGTCGTTGAGCTATTAATTAACATAAAATTAAAATGCAATTCGTATATTGTGATATCGTTAATCACACCATTTAGTAGCGACATTTGTTGTGCTACCGTTTCAGAGCGAGCGGTATTACCCATCTAGCGAGCCATTTAGCTGCAGCTGAAGGTCATGGCCGAGTCAAATGTAACGGACGCCAAGCACGCAGACACATTAAGTCCAAGCCAACAACATTATTTGCTGGCCAAGAATTGCGCATGCGCAACATGGACAGCATTGTCTTCGTCAGTTGCCAGTCGTTGACTTGGCAACCGTTGCGCGTGCCCCGCATAGCCAAGCAGCTAACCAGGTAACTAGCCAGTCAGGCCCGAAAAAAAATGAAAAGTGTAAGTGTTGACGCTTTGGCATTTGGCTATAAAAGCGCAGCGTTGTCTTCAATTTGGCATCACAAATCAACTGGTCATTCACTAGCTGACAACTATCCAAAACCCAAGCAATCAACATGTTCAAATACGTAAGTAGCTCCTGCTCCTGCTCCAGTTCCAGTTCCAGTTCCAGTTCTAATTTTTCATCTTTGCAGTTCGCCGTCTGCTTCTTCGCTGTTGTGGCTGTGGCTTCTGCTAAGCCCGGCATTCTCTCTCCTTTGGCCTACACCGCACCAGCTGTGGTCGGCAGCGCCGCCTACGTGGCACCCTATGCCTCCAGCTATAGCGCTCATCAGGTGGCCCATAGCGCTGCCTTCCCAGCTGCCTACACTGCGCCCATTGCTGCCGCCGCCTACACTGCTCCAGTTGCTGCTGCCTACCCCGCTCCTCTGGCTGCCGCATACACCGCTCCTCTGGCTGCCGCCTACTCCGCTCCTCTGACTGCTGCCTACACTCGTTATGCCGCTGCTGCTCCTCTGGCCTACAGCGCTCCTTTTGCTGCTCCTTATGTGGCACGCCCCTATGCCGCCGCCGCCGCCCCTCTCCTGCTGAAGAAGTAGAGTGTGTGTAGTTCCATATATATATGTTAATGTATATATATGTATATCGCATACCTCAGCCAACTGCTTGTGATTTTGTTTACGACATAAAATAAAAGTTTAAGTTTCATTGAAATATTTTTGCCTTTTTATTTATTCTTTTTCCTCCATTTGTTTTGGCCTTGCTTAAAAATGCGCAGCGTTTGACTGCACGCATAATTCAGCTGCTTCATTAGCCACTTTAATGGGCCGATCAACTAGGCAGCCTTCAAGACGAAGCCCATGCTCCTCTGCATATTAATAGGCAGCGACCACATTCGGTTGCCAAGTGGATCTTTCTATATCTTTAAGTCTAGCTAGGTCCGCCTCTCACATCTTTGTCCATGCCTTTATATCTTCCATTCCTCTGCCCATGGAGTACCCTTGTCTGATCTCAGATACTACTTATCTTTCTATTCACTCTCGTTGGACATGCTCTTATCTACTTTATATATAAATATATATACTCTGTTACTACAAATTTGCAGGTCGCTTCACCGTAATTACCGCAGAGACCACAAATTCCATAAAATATGAAGCAGCTCTGCCTCAAGTCCACGGCCCTCGTCCCACGGCCCACACAAATGTATGTGGTTACCAGACTTTAGAAGCCAGAAGCAGAATATCCTTGAGTAGGTAGTAAATTAATATTGACACCTGCTGTTGCTCCTCCTGCTGCTGGTGATGCTGTTGTCGGCGCTAATGAGGCCTGAAACCTAAATACGTCAACAGCTTCGTAATGCGAATGATGATGATTTAATGGTATATGGAGGAGTGTCTCTTGGCAAGAGCCAACCATAGAACTAGACGCTTATTCAATTTGAGTCGAACGGAAAAGCAGCTCAATAAACTGATAAGTGTTGACCAGGCCAAGAGCGGGTAGGTTCCTGGCCAAAACTTTTGGCAATTATCGCTTCGACTGAACTTTAGCAGCAGCAGCAGCAACAACAACTTCAACAAAACTTTTTGACTTTATTGTTGACTTTGTTAAATGTAGCTAAATGGGCGTAAATGACCAGCAACAACAACAACGACGCACAAAGCAGCAACAGGCTGGCATATGTGGCTGTGTGTGCGTGTGCTCGTGTGTGTAAAAGGGTTCAAAAGTTAAAGTGACCTCTGTTGATGCATAAGCAAATTTTTCTGTTGCTGGCAGCACTGGCTGCTCTTTTATATGTATATTTTTTTGTTGGGGTCTGGCAACCCTCCGCTTTCATTATAAAAACTGACAGCGCGTAAGAAAACTTCTTGCGGTTACTTTGAAGCAGGTAGCAAAGACGCATTGAAATGTAAACATAAGTAGAGCAACTTTGCCCACACAGACAACAGCAACAACAACAACAACAGTAACCACAACAACAACAGTAACCACAACAACAACAACAGAAGGTAAAGCATGCACCTCATTACAGCAAAAAGGACGTACGCTGTATCCCTCATCCGCATCCGTTGGAATTATGCGGCATTGTCTAAAAATGATTTTCGTTGCTTGTTGCTATTTTTACGTTTCATCGAACAAAAGCAAAGTACCTTGCAATGGCAGCAGCACCAGCAGGAGCAGCAGCAGCAACAGCCAAAGCAACAACTGCAGCGGCAACAACAATGGAGCTAAAAGCTGGGAAACATAAAGCATTAAGCTTACGGAGAAGCGCAAAAGCGACGAAGACGAAGAAGCAGTAACGGAGTAACAAGTAGAAAAAGACAAGCCACAAGCACTCAAAGTCATGACAGAGGAGTGAAGTGAAAGCAGAGAGTGAAGAGTTGTTGATAGGAATGAGCGAAGGGGGAGGGGGCAGCTTAACGAATCTGCGCATACCGAAAAGCGCTCAACTCATTCCTTTTTGCATGCAACGGTACTGCACAGAATAATACATTGTGTGACGCGGTGCAGGCGACAAATGTTCAGCAATTGAAATGTACTGAGGGGCAGCGAATGTATAAAGTACTTCCGCTTGATATGAGTTTTAAGTAACTTCCGATGTGTCTTATATATCGAAAATTCTTAAGACCAACTTTATATCAGCAACATTTCGTTTAGTTATATTTTGTCGCCTGTGGCTTATAATACCCATAAAGAAATGCAACTGCGTTTGTGTGTTTACAGGATAATGTTACAAGGGTTTGGGTGCTGCCACACACCTGCCGCCCACCTCCTTGGCAGACGCATTAAGTGAAGCACGCTGCATGTTGGCTCAAAATGAAGTGCTGACAACGCGTTGTTGCCGCTGTCGTTGCTGTTGCTGTTGCTGCTGCTGTTGGCACATCAGATGGTGCGAATGGTGGGCAAGTATTGCCCATGCCCGTTAGCTGCTAAGCGTCTTACGGTTTTAGCGCCAGACCGCACACACACACACTGAGGGAGACAGGCAAAGACAAAAGAATCGCTGCGGTTGCCACTCGACTGACTGCGTGGTTGGCAGGCAGGAAGACGCTGTCGCTGCTGGTGCCGCTGCTGCTGCTGCTGCTCGGTCTTTCTGGCTGTTTAATTTACGCGCTGCTATTATTTTAATCTTTTGCGCTACAACAGCGTGAAATGACTTTCACCTGGCCTTTTGCTTTTGCTCAGTGCGGTTTGGGTGCTTGGGCATGGACCCAGACAGATGCGCGACTTCGTGCGACTTCATCTTTGCAGCATTTAGCACAAGGTGCGCGACAGGCAGCTCTGCCTTTGCCTCTGTCTCTTTGCCAGTTTTTGGGTGCCTCGAGGCACACATATGGTGTCCGCCCACACGTTTATGCCACTTCCTGCCTGGCACCTTGTACTTTTATTGTTTCATGTGGCTCGCCCATCCATCCGCTCTTGATGCGCCATTCAGGTGCGAAATAAACGAGCTCGCCTTCATATCGTACATCATCGCGTGCTTGGCGCTTTCATCGTTCCGGAAATCTCCCGCAATCAGCATCCGGAGCCGAGGCCAAAAACACGGCAGCCAGGTGGGTTTATAGTGCGGAGGATGTGCTCTACCTAATGCCTCAAATCATTTTCATTTCTTGCTGCTCTCAAGACATGCGCCTCCTCCTGCTACTCCTGCTCGTCTCTTACTTTTTACTGCTTGCCACTCGAAGCTCGCTTAAGCTGCCGCTCAGCTTTTGCCTCGCTTCGCTTCGCCGTTGCTGCTCTTTGTCTTTTTTCTTTCTTTTTTATTTTTGTTGCTTTTTGCACTATGTAACATTACAATATTTTAAAAGATTTACTGACCCATACATACGGGCAACAGCTACAGCTACAGCTGTAGTCGGATAGCTGCAAAGTGCAAAGCGCTGTAAAATATTACGTATACGCAGCGTCAGGCACCTGGAAAGGTTTGGATTTGTAACGCCAAGTTAAACATTTGTTTGGATTTAACAAACCTTACAGTTCGGACAGTTAAAATATGCGCTTCAAATATTTTGATTAAAACAAGAGCTATAATTTAGAGATGTTTTGTATACAGAGCATAAATGAGCTAGAATTTAGTTGGATATAAGAGTTATAAGAGCAAGTTGAACTATATTGAAGAGTATTCCAAAGAGCTTGAATTTTATTGTATTTAGATGCAGATTTGTTTCTAAAAAATATCATATTTGATATAAGCATACAAAGGCTGAGCAGTTAAGAGCATTAGCAAAAGAAGTGATCATCAGGCAAAAATGAGTTAAGATATTACGCGGTTTTTGGTCTTGTTTTAAAGTCATATCTGTGTCATTTTATAATTGTCTAGTTGAATATATGGTATATTATATAATTTGAATACTTGTCTATGTGAAGTTTTTTATATATATATGCTATATATATCTATGCTGGATATCTATTAAAATGGAAATTGAATCAAAACTACAAGCCTTTTGCCAGACTCTTACGCTGCACATCTGCCTCCATCTATAGATCTAGTCCCATATCTCCAACTCAGCTCTATTTTTACATATTTCAGCTTCCTTCAACTGCGCTAATCAACGGCAAATATGTGCACTCGTAGTTGCCTTAAAATTTATGCGATTTGCGCCAAACTTTAACAAGCCAAAGAAGGATAGAGACAAAATCTTTTGCCAGCTTAGCTGGACTGAGGGGCGACTAGGACTGGGGCGTGGCAGCTGCTTAAGAGCTAAAATAAATAGAATTTTTAAGTAAATTGAAGCAGGAAACTTATTTGCAGCGCTCAACTTAGTCGTCGCCCAGTTGTACACTAACTTGGCCAACATAATTCACACGCAAGCCGAAAAGGGGCCAGGCAAGAGCGAGCGAGAGAGAGCGGCAGAGAGAGCGAGGCAGGCATGTCCAAAGAGCCGCAACTTGTGGCAAAAGCCACACAGTGGCTTTGCTGGCACAAATGGTGCACATTACAAGGGCCCAAAGCTACTTACCCAGGCAGCCGGCGTGGCAAGGACTCACATATTTTATTATCAGCAGGAGCTGGAGCTGGAGCAGGAGGCGGGCGTCTGTCTGTCTGTGCAACAAGGCGCAAAACTTAAGCGGCGAAGACAAATTTTTATTGCCACAAGCCCAAGTCGATTTCGATTATTGACTGCAAGCAAACTGTTGCACAGAAAGGGAGAGAGAGAGAGAGAGAGAGGGTGAATGGGTTAGAGAGAGACAGTGGCATAAAGGATGGCAGGCAGCCAGGCAGGCAGCCAGCCAAGCGAACTTCGGCTGCCTGCCATTGGCTTTAGCTGTCGCGTTCGCTCATTTGAGTCACATTTTATTATTTTGGGCGCATCTATCGTATGCGCGCTGCCATTTTATTTTATTAGCGTGACATTTCAATTGATCGCACCAAGCCACGACATGAAACACCCTGTGCAATTGGCAGCCTCTGATTGATTGATCAGACAACGTGGCTTGTAAGACTTAAAGCTATTACTATTGACCTGACAGCTCAATTTTACTTTTACTGATTGATCTGGCAGCTCTGTTTGGTGTAACTCTTACTAACACTGCTTTGATTAACTTAATTATTACTTAATGTTACCAAAGGCACTGATCGGGGAACTCTGTTTTGTAGTATTTGATTTTTACTAACACCAAACTGATTGATCTGGCAACTTTGCTGATAAAACTTAATTATATCTAACACTGATCAAGCTTACTGATCTGGCAACTCTGTTTGGTAGCTGGTAACAACTATTACTTACACTTACCACACTGGTTTATGTGGCAACTCTATTTTTTAGGACTTGCTGTTACTTAGACTTGTCAAACTGATTGATCTGGCAACTCTGTTTGGTAACTGGTAACAAATGTTACACTTATCACACTATTTCGAGTGGCAACTCTGTTTCGTAGGACTTCACTGTTACTAACACTTGTCAAACTGATTGATCTGGCAACTCTGTCAAGTAAACACAACTGTTACGTACACTTAGCACAGTATTTCGTGTGGCAACTCTGTTCTGAAAAATTGAGTTGTTACTTACACGTTTCAAACAGATTGATCTGGCAACTCTACGTTGTAAGACTGGAAGCTCTTACACACCTACCAAACTGATTGCTCTGGCAACCCAAACCATTTAGTTACTTTCAAAAGGGCTTAGCAGGCGCCTCTGTGCTGTCAACTGTCAGAGATTAGATGATTTGCAGTTTTCCAGTTTACTCATAATTCTATTAAACTCGTCCGAGCAACACAAGAAAAGTCTCATATTCATTATACTCATACGGTTTTTTTTTCGTATGTTTTTAACAAAAAATAAAAAAAAACGTATTTGAAAATAAGAAACGAAACGCCTCCACCTCCAAGCAAAAACCAAAACCCTCCACCCACTCATAAAAAATAATCGTAAGGTGTTACCGTGTGGCACAACCAAGTTTTGAGCAAAATATTTACGAAATAGGCGCTATATTGCAAAAATATTTTAAAGTAACTCAAACTATGGGCTACGACAACTACAACGGCACTGAAGTGGCCGAGTCCGGTCAGGCCATCTATGCAGGCGGCAATGGGAACAATGTTGTGGCCGATGAGCAGTTTGCTGCAGCTGCGGCCGAGCTGCAGCCGTCGCTGAATCGCGTCCTCAGCTCTATTGACTATGATCTGTGCTTCAAGCATCCTCTGGAGCACACCTGGACTCTGTGGCACTGGGAGAACGATCGCTCCAAGTCCTGGTCAGATATGTTGAGCGATGTGACCAGCTTCAATACTGTCGAGGATTTCTTCAGGTTGACTCGATGAATTCTTTTCTATATTTCTGCCTTATAATCTATTTTCTTCTCCCTCCTTCTCTATCCCGTTCGCTCTCTCTCCCTCTTTCTCTTCAGTGTTTACTACTTTATTAAGCCACCATCGGATCTGAAGGTATTCAATGATTATATGGTGTTTAAGCAGGGTATACGGTTAGTTAATTCTTTTTCTTTGTTTTAATATATTTCTTAATTATTTTTTAATTAATTTTTCATAATATATTTTTTAAAAATATTTGAATACATTTTTTTCATTTATCATATTTTTTTTATGTATAAATAAATATATTTAATATAAAAAATTTTATTTTTATATTTATACATTTTTAAAATTATTTATAGATATATTTTTTTGCTTTTGTCAATATTGTTTATTGCTTAAAATTTTTTAATTTCTTAAAATAGTTTTTGTAATTTTTATTTTTATTAAATTTTATATTAATTTTTTTAATATTTAAAATTTTTTTATATACTTTTCTCTTGCTGCAGTCCAATGTGGGAGGATGATGTCAACAAGGACGGCGGCCGTTGGGTCATGTTTTTGGACAAGGATTCGAAGGAACTGGTAGACAAGTTGTGGCATGATTTAGTAAGTAGCTCGCTCTGTTCTCGTCGCTTCTGACATCACGTCTTCTCTAGCTTCTGTGCACCATTGGCGAATGTTTTGAGTTTTCGGATCAGATCTGTGGCGTGGTCATCAATGTGCGTAACAAAGCAAGTAAGATATGTGAGTATCTGAGCGTAGGCTGAGACGACTTGCTATAGGAATCGGCATATTCATTCTGCATTCATATTTTGCTTAGCTCTATGGACTAAGGACTCGCACAATCAGCAGGCTATTTTGGCCATTGGACGCAAGATGAAGCAACTGTTGCAGCTGCGCGAGGTTGAGCTGCAATACCAGGTGCATAAGGATGCCATGGTACAGGCCGGGCCAAATGTCAATGCTATTTACAAATTGTAAATTCCAAGCAAAGCAAGTGCTACAAAACTGGCTTTCAACGGAAGCGTTTACTTAGTTTAAGTACTTACAGCGGTCCTTCGTCAAATGCTCAAGACTTGGCAAGATTTTGGGCATTTGCACGATCGGACGATCCCCACTCTCTCTCTCTTTCTCTATCGTGCATTTTGCTTATAACTGAAAAATGTTTGTACATCACAAATACACACTCCTACGGATGCACATACACAGGCAGACGACTACAAATACAATCTATGTATATACCTATAACTATATATATTTATATATATGTGTGTATATATATATATATATATATATATATATATATATATATATAGGTACATGTGATACTTTGCTGTACTATACGTACTCATAAATACCGAATAAAGCATTGCAATGTATTGCATGAAATGTATATACCACCTATATGGATCTAGATACATATGTATCTAAATGTGTAAATGTATCTAAAGGAGATACACATCTCAATGTGTCGCTAGGTGTATAGGAATGTACTTATAGCTATCGATATGTATTGATATGTATTTAGATAAGTATCTATATGTATCTGTATGCTCTATGCATCTTTATGTATATGTATCTAAAGGTATTTGTAGGTATCTGTAGGTATGTATATGTATATGTATCTGTATCTGTGTGTATCTGAACGTAACTATATGTATCTATACGTATCGATATGTATTTATATATGTGTATCTTTAAGTATCTGTATCCACATGTATTTATATATTTATCTTAAGGTATCTGTAGGTATATGAAGGTATCAATTTGGTTTTATAGTTGTATCTATAGATATTTATATATATCTGTAAGCTACTATATGTATCTATATGTAACTATAGGTATCTATACGTATCGATATTTATTTATATATGTATCTAAAGATATCGGTAGGTATCTGTGGGTATCTAAAGGTATCGATATGTATTTCTATATGTATCTAAAGATATCTGTGGGTATCGAAAGGTATCGATATGTATCTATGGGTATCTCCATGCTTCTATATGTATTTACACATACGTATCTATATATGCATCTATATATATATATTGATATGTATCCTTACGTATCTATATGTATCTAAGATATATCTATATATATATATATATATATCTGTCTATATATGTATCTTTACATATTTGCATGTTATTCTACAGGTTGACTACTGTAAATTGAATATCTATCTTATATAACTTATGGGTAGAATCGATCTGGAAGCGCATCTGTAGTTCGCGCTGTAAAAGATTTGTTTTCTCCTTTGTTTTTCGGTGCTGACTCGAGTTGCCTTTCAGTTTTTGTTTTTTTTTTTTTTTTGGTATGCCATCAAATCCGGCACGTAGCCACGCGTTGTTCTTAGCCATGACACACGTTTGCCTAGCGCCACGTTCACTCCTTCTGGGCTCTCCACTCGCGCGCTTTATGGCGATTATTCTTTATGCCATAATTTTGGCTATTTTTGCTGTCGTGTCGCGTTCCTTCCCGGCGCCCCTTTGTACTGTGGGCGTGTCAGTTACGCTTAGTCTTTTGTGTTTATGTCATGCATAGCAAATTGTGTGCAATTTATGAAAATATGCCAAGAAGCAGGGGGCGACGGGGCTGCACATGACCACATATATGCAGTATGAATACGTATATAATGTGATTGTTGTAATTTGTTAGGATTTGGTCCTTTATTGTTTTATTGAATTATGAAGTGGCATTTGCCAAATGACGTGAACGTGATACACTAGCCAACGCACACACACAGCGTCACGTATCCCGTCGTATCCTTTTACAGCAGTCGCCTTGACTACTGCTGCCTGCATGTTTTAATATCGAGTGAGAAATTCCTGGGGCCAGGCAAAAGAATGCCTGCACTTTGATGCCAAATGGCAAATGCGCATTGATATGCGCACCTGTGCAGCTGTGCTGTGAAAAGGACATACAGGACATGCCTGCACTTATTGCTCTCCTTTGTTTATTGTTGCTGCCAGGTGACATACAGTGAAGCCCAACGGACGGCGCCACTAAGCTTGTGGCTCACTCTGAACTGCGCTCGAAGGCTGCCCATATAAGCAGAGTTTCTCCCGAGTTGTAAGAAGTGCTACTATGCCTTCCGAATACTTTATGCTTTTGTAAACAAATTAATAAACAGTAACTGTATATTTATGAAAACTAATTCAAGTTTCTTTAAGGTCTCTGCCAAAGAACTCAGCCTACAGCTGTTTATTCAAGCGAATAAACTGTGACTATGCTGTTATCATACTATTTGTTAGCTTTAGTATATTATAGAAAAAGTCTTTAAGCTGAAACAGACTTAATGGACTTATGAGCTTATGATAGGAGCTTGATTGCTTTTGAGAAAACTTTTTTAGTAATTTAAAATTTTCTTTTCATTTTGAATTTAGTTATTTAGTAATTTAAAATTTTCTTTTCATTTCGAATTTAGTTTTTTAGCAATTTAAAATTTTCTTTTCCTTTCAAATATATTTTTTTAGTAATTTAAAATTTTGTTTTTTAGTAATTTAAAATTTTCTTTTCATTTCGAATTTAGTTTTTTAGCAATTTAAAATTTTCTTTTCATTTCAAATATATTTTTTTAGTAATTTAAAATTTTGTTTTTTAGTAATTTAAAATTTTCTTTTCATTTCGAATTTAGTTTTTTAGTAATTTTAAATTTTCTTTTCATTTCGAATTTAGTTTTTTAGTAATTTTAAATTTTCTTTTCATTTCGAATTTAGTTATTTAGTAATTTAAATTTTTTTTCAATTCGAATTTAGTTTTTTAGTAATTTAAAATTTATTTTTTCATTTCGAATTGTTTGATCTGATGGAGTTTTTAGTCAATTAGAGCTGTAGAACTCCATCAAATGCTTTATTAACTGAAGAGAAAAGGGAAATTAGAATAGGATTGGGCATCGAGATTCGCTTTGGTCTTTTTATAAGGAACAACAGAAGCTCTCGACTTGCAGCCGCTCACCTCAGCGAGTCTTCACTTAAGTCAAGCTCTTTAAAAAGGGGCTTCAAATGCTTAAAGCTTATGCTAGAACTTCAGTTTGTTATGGGCATTACTTCAAATTCCATGACAGTCGAGATTGGCTTTCTTTTCTTTATGCTCTCTGGCTGGCATCTAATCCTCTCACTGCGCTTTAAAGACCTTTCACATGCAACATGCTTTTCTCCTGCTGTCCAGTGGCAGCAGTTTGCACTGTAGCTGCGCGCCTTAAAGCCGATGTCAAAGGACAAGCCAAAGCAAGGCAAATAAAAGTTAACTGCATGCCCGGAAGCTGCAACAGCAGCAGTAGCAGCAGCAGCGGCAGCAGCAACAGCTTCCGCTTCCGGCTTTGGCCTCAGCTCAGATAAGCGCTGCAAACTAATGTTGTTGCTGTTGTTGTTGTTGCTGTTGCGTATATTATTTAATGCAAGTGTAATTGAAAAAGGCGCACCGAGAAGTGGGCGCAGGTCCTTTAAGCATCGCTCATCCTGTTGCTATTTTAATTAAACAAAAAGCGCAAAATGTTTGACCATTCGTTGGGGGCTCCGCTGGGTGGGCGGCTGTAGCTGTTTGCTTGTCCAGCGCCTTGTCTTTTGGCCACGTAAATATTCTTTGCCAACAAGCACAAAATTGTTTGCCCCCGATGTGGCCGTGTCCTGTGTGTCCCTGCGCGTCTCCTGTTGCAAAACAAATTAATTGTCTGTCGTTGTTTTCTTTTTCACATAAAGTTTTGGCGTCGTCCTTGCGGTCGTCCCTGTTCGTTCCTGTCGCAATTTTCAGCGCTCTGTTTGTTGCGTAAATTGCGGCCATTTTTGTTGCTGCTGCTGCTGCTGCTGCTGCTGTCTGTTGTCTGTTGTCTGTTGTTATTTGCGCTATCTTTTCTCGTCTGCTGCCTCGTCGCTCGTCGCTCGTCTCACTCAAATTTCACTTGGCTTTCGCTTAGCTCATTTACTGCACAACTTGTTATAGCTTTTTGGGTTTCCATTTGCCATCAAGACAGACAGCCTCTGCCCCTATCTCTCTCTCCCTGTCCCTCTCTCTCTCTCTCTCTCTCTCTTTTAGTCATAATTCAAATGTAATTTCATTGCCACCATCAGCTCCCCCGACACTCATAATTATTTTTTGATTAAAGATGCTCCTGTTGTCCGTCAGCCAGGCAGCCATTTGGGAACTGCTGCCTGCAGCCCCAAGCCCGACCGAAGCAGCTCGAGTAACTGCCGATAAAATGGGTAAGCAGAGTGTACCCTTGTGCTCGATTGAGAGTTTTTTGCATGCGGCGTAGAAATTTTATGCTTTCATCAGTGAAGTTTTTAGTGTCTTTGCTGTGCGGATTAAAAAGTTCAGTTTGTACTGAGATCTGTTCAATAAACACTTCAATGTTGGTTGAATGTCTAGCGATCTTAAGGGAGATTAAGAAGAATTGGCTAAGGCAGGTGAAATCTTACTTGAAGCGCTGAAAATGTCAAAGGCGAGCCATGAGATTAGGAACAGAGAGAATAGGAACAGAGAATGAGACAGAGAAAGGGAAGGAGAGAGAGAGAGAGAGTGAGAAGGAAAATACATGATTGCGATCGAGAGTGTGTGATAGAGACATAGAGGGAGAAAGAAGATAAATACATACAGAAAAAGAGAGAGAGAGAGAGAGAGAGAGAGAGAGAGAGATAGGGAGAGAGAGAGAGAGATAGGGAGAGAGAGAGAGAGAGAGAGATAGGGAGAGAGAGAGAGAGATGGAGAGAGGGATTGAGGGGGTGAGGAAAAGGTAAGTAAGCCTGGATGAAGAGGAATGAATGACGGTAGGACAAGTATTAGATGACTGAAAGAGGGATGGAGATAGAAAGAGTGATAAATGAAGAGATGGCGATAGAAATAGAGAGAGGGACAGAGAGGGATCGAGAGTGAGGAAGAGGGAGCCAAAGGGAGTGAGAAGTTAGACAGAGAGGGATTCAGAGAGAGAGAGAGAATTATAGAGAGAGAAAGAATTAGGGAGAGAGAGAGAGCCATAGAGAGTGAGAGAGCCATAGAGAGTGAGAGAGAGAGAGAGAGAGAGTGAGAGAGAGCTAGTAAAATAGAGCGGGAAGTTACAATATGAAAGAGTTTAAAGAAAGAACCTGATGAAATCACTTTAGATTGTGGCCAACTGTCATATTTTGATGACGCATTGAAATGAGATAAGCTTTAATAATGCTAAGGGAAGCACATGGAAAAACTTGCAAAATATATTTGGGTCTTCAATATTTCTAGTTTGCGCTCGCAGTCGTGGCTCATGGATGAAGCTTTATGTGTCAACTGAAGTTCATCTGAATGGGAAATTGCTTTGCCTAGAGCAAACGAACTGTACTTGAGCTACGACTTTTGGCTCTGAGTTCAATAAGTTAATTAAATTTTGGCCATAAAACGTTATTACTCGCAGCCGAACAGCTCGACTGCGAGGACTTCTTGTTGGCTTCTCTTACCATGGACTCTTAATTTCGGTTTTTTGATTTGGGACTTGGCAGACTTTGAGGCGTTTATGGCTTTTCATTTTGCTGTTTATTATTTTTATTTATTGGACTTGGTGCAGCTCGAGCTGTGGCTGCAGCTGCCGATTGAGTTGCTGCAAATGAATTTGCATAAATGCTGCCAGCTCTCGACGTGCTGTCATAAATAAATAAGTCTCGATGTCATTGGTAAGCCTCAAAGCCTTGAGTGTTTGCGAATATCCAGCACGAAATGCAATTAAAATACCGAAACGCAATAATCATTTCTTCAATTTGCCAATCAAACGGCCAACACGAGCAACAAATTGACCCGCCTCGCCTTCGCCTTCGGCTCGTTATGCGCTTTTCACATTTTAATGCGGCTCAGAAAATGCAACTTTGATTGAATTTATAACAATGCACATAAAACATACAAATATATTTATGCCACTCGCAAAAAGCACACAAATAACAATGTTACAGCTGGGCGTGACCGACTGCATAATACGCGCCTAACATCCTAAAAGGATTTCAAGCAGTTTTGCTAAGTCTCTGGAGCGAGTCGTCGAGGCTTGCCTCAGGCTGAGACTGAGCCTTGGCAGATACAGGATTTTCCATGCTCTTTTTTGGCCAACATAATAGGGCCATAGATATATATGCCATATATTTCTACATTTTTCGTAGCCTTCAGGAGTATATATTCCAAATTTATAGTCTCTAACGTGTTCCGTTTTGCCACGAGAGGACAAGCCACATTTCAGCTCTGGCCAGTTCGTATGAACCGACGGAAGTACAGCACCAATATGCCCTGCTTCACTCCGTGAACGGGTATAAAACTATGAAAAGAGTTTCATAATAATTTAACTATATGAAACAAATTGTATTTGGCTTCTATTGTTTATTTTTTCCACTCGAATTCTGCTAATGCGAGTCCCGCGCAGAGCTGAATTCTCGCATCCAGTGAACGATGTCGTCGCATTTGCATTTGCATTTGCAAAATTATAACAACATTAAAAAAAAACAAAAAAACTAGTTAAAAGTTGACAACAATGAAACGTCAAAAAGCTTCAAGCGAAAAACTTTCAAACCGTGACTCAACAAAAACAACAATACAGATAAAATTATATATATATAGATATATATACGTGGATACATACAGATGTTGAAACTCTAAACCCTTTTTATGCTCTGTGCCCATTGTAAATGCAAATGGGGCTGCTCTTCATATGAGTATAAGAAGCTGTCTTTGTTCAAAACTTAGAGCAATATAAATCGATAAATATCGATGCTTAGAAAATTGCATTGAAGCGCTTAGCTTATGTAAAACTTATTATAAATTTATAATTATATTTATAATTATATATTTATAATTATAATTAATTATATAAAGAATAATCGATAAATATCGATTTGTGTGCTCAAGCACAGTGAGTTAGTTTAGATATTTCTTTAGCCTTTTGTATTCCGCCAGCTGTCCCCACTCTACAGGGTATCTCCTGGCGTGCCATTCAGAACTTAATTTTGTGTGTTTGCATTTAATGCGCCCACGCCTAGCTGCCACGTCTACCTTCTTCCTTTAGTTGTTTTTATTTCTGCTCGTTGCTTTCGGCCCGTTTTTTGTTTTGCCCAACAATAAAAGCAAATTTTTCTAAAATGTCATGTCGCCTGTGTCGCCCTCCCCCTTTGCCAAAAGGAGTTGAGGGTTGGACCCACCCAAGCTATTTGCAATTTAACTTTTTGCCACACAGACACAGACACAGCTGTAGCCGTAGCTGTTATGGCTAAAGGATGGGCATGGTAAAACAAGGACACGTAGCCCCAAAGAGCTTTAGTTTTTAGTTGGCTTTTATTAACTTTTGTCTGCACTAGTGTGTGTGTGTGTGTGTGTGTGTGTGTGTGGGTGTGTGTGTGCGTGTGGGTGCTCAGTCAGTTCCACTTATTTTGGGCATAAAAGTTGCGCTATTACCGAGATTCGAGACGTCGCTGTTGTCCCTCACAAACGACTGGCCAATTTACAGTTAACTCGAATAGAGCCTAACCCACAGAGCTACCCTTTGGGCAGGCTGGCTGGCCAGAGTGGTGCAGCCCCACATCGAAGCACCACTTAATGCACAATTTAACTTTTGTCGTTTTGTATTTCGTATATATTTCACTAAATGCTGCGATGCTGCTTGCGACACGGCGGCACAGCTCGAGGAATTACTCTTGTTGTGACTCTCAGTTGCGCCGGCGGCGGCGGTGGCGGCAGCGGTGGCAGCACGGGTGGGGGCGGTGGCGGTGGTGCCGGCGCCGGTGCCGATTTGCTTTTCTGCAGCGTCGCTGCTGCTGCTGTCGTTGCGGGCGCAGTTGTCTCTGTCACTTTCAGGTATTTGATTTGAAAATAGTCCGCTATGAACTGGGTGCTTATCACATTCAATTCGAGACCCTTGGCCAGCATTGCAAATATGCCCTTCCCGCGCACCTGCTGCTCGCGCAGCTCCTTTGTGGCGGCTATGTTCGTGGCGTGATCGCCTACCGTCGACTTGACAATCAGCTCGCAGTAGTTGCGAAACACCTGATGGCCGAGCGTCTAGAGGTGGATAAAAAGAGGGTTTTAGGAATGTTGCAGACGGCTATAGCCGACTGCGCAATACTCTGTTCACGCCAAGCCGAACTATACAAGAAATGATTCTTGCTCTCTGTAGGCGGACAAAAAGCTTATAGCAGTTGCCTGTTACTGACTACGCAATACTCTGTCTACAGTTGACAGTCTAAGCTGTCCTTTTGGGACAACGAAGGACTACCGCAACAGGATGTCCTAGATTACATCTATATACTTAAAGCTAGCTCGAAGTGAAGCTGCCCGAGAGACTTGTATTTTGCTGTAGGCGTTAGTAGGCGTGCCTTAGTCAGATCCCTAATGAAGCTCAGCTCCCAAGGGGCCTAACATACTCAAAACAGTGTACAGCAAGGCAGTCTCCTTCAAACTGTAAGCAGGAACTGACGAGAAGTTGGCTTCGAATCAAGTCGAAACAGTCAAGCGGCAAACAGATCAACACTTACAGTTACCATTAAATGGGCCACGCCCATGCGCTTGTATCGCTCGCCACAGTCCACGGTGGTCATGAAGAAGCAGAACTTGACCAGGAACGGAACGGCCAGGGTGAAACAGCGCTGCGCGTAGAGCAGGCGATGCAGCAGCAGGAGCATGTTGTGTGAGCGCAGACGCAGACCCATGTTGGCCGACTGCCAGCGTGGCACCAGGACACCCCAGTCGGCGGAATTGTGATTCTGATTGACGTCCACCAGTCCATAGGCGATCCACTTGTAGCAAATGGGCGCCTTGTAGTATATGGGCAATGGCATCTCGGCGCCATCGAACTCCAGGGCCACAATGAAGTCGAAGCAAATGCCGCGATTGTGGGCGCCCCTTTCCGCCGCGAACACCTGGTGGGCGAAGGGCACACGATTGTAGCTGAGTGCCGTGTATTTGATGTCGTATATGGCGCCCCAGTAGCCGGCTATGCAGGCCACCTGGCCAACGGCCCGCTGCAGATCCTGCTGCAGGCGCAGATTCATGCATTTCGGATTTATCGCATCGGCAAAGAAGAACGGATGCGTATAGTTGGCTCTGTAGAGCTGAACGCTGCGCTGCTTTTCATTGAAGCTGGCCGAGAGCGAGATGGGCAGCCGTATGGTCAGAAAGACCTCAAAGCCAAGTGGCATATCCATATTAATTTGGCTTACGAATGAGGCTGCAACAGTGATTGAAGACTTTCATTAGCTGCGGAGCATAGGACACTTGGCTTACCCGTCTTACGCAGCTCACCCATATAGTCCTTGAAAATGGAATTGTTTTTGTGCAGTTGGTTGACAATCGCATCGATCAGCAGCTTGGCATCGTGCACGAAACGATGATGCTGTTCCTCATCCCCATGGAAGTTGAGTGCCATCAACTCAAACGTGTCCACAAAATTGAGCATAGCCATACTCCTTTGACATTTCGTCCTCGGCAATGAAAACAAACGATTGCTCAGTGTTGCACAACGGTCAGTTGTGACAGATTTCAAATTGCCGTTGGCGTTGCCAGATCACTGCGATCAACACGTATAGTAAGTAAGTAACAGTCGTCAAATTGCGTGTGAGCGCGCGTTTGTGTGTGTGTGCTATGAATGAAATTTGAATAGCATCCAATTACTACGCGGTTTACTACGACGCATCTGCGCACTGGCATCCAGCATCCACGTGGACTCAGTCAGTCAGCGACTATGGTAACGGGCAACATCTCGAGTCTTTCGGCCAGCCACAATATGAATTCAGTTGCTGTTCGACGTTCCTCGCGTGTGGTTGTGCCTGGGCCCAGCGCATTCATTTGCATAGAGCGGCGTATGTTAGTTGTCTCCCTTTCGCGCTGCAACCACATGCATACGAAGGAGTGAGAGAGAGCGTTTCAATTAAAACCGTTATGTAGAGAGCGCGCCGGCGCTGTCGCTGTCAACGTTTGTGTACGAAAGAGCATGTATGGTGGCAAAGTGCAATAGGCAGGCAAACTGCAATAGCAACAACAATAACAATAACAATAACAACTATAACTGTAACAACAAAAGCAAAGGCAACGGCAACGTGCGCGCTGTGTAAATAACAGCAGCTATACATGTACATTGCGTGCGTGCGTGTGTTTGTGTGTGTGCATGTGCATTGGTGTAGATACTACGCGAAACTGCAGTGTAAAACAACAAGCGCCCGGCAACAGGACAACAACAGTAAGAACAAGAACAAGAGCAAAGGGCAAGTACGGAAAATGCTTCACGCGCAAAATTTCGCTGATAAAGTTGCTTTCTAATGAAAGGTGCTTGGCCAGACTTTGCCAAGCTCGTGCTTCAGCCGTAAATTGAAAATAAATTGAATTGCAATAACAACAAAAACAAGAAGTAGAAGTCTGTTGAATTTTTTGCCCGTGTTGGTAAACGCGCTAAAGTGCAAAGTGTTTTTGGGGCCAAATTGCATGCAAATTCGTTTAGTTCGCAACTGAAGACAAACAAAAAATAATAGAAAATCGCTTCTAATGGATTTTATTTTGAAGTTCGGAGCGAACTTTTAATGCTGCCGCATGTGGCACGTTGCGAGTCGCAACTAATGGCGCAATGTGAAAATACATTTTCTATGAACTTCAACAAAATTTTGTGACTTATAGACTGCCTTAAGCTGTTTGGTTTGCAGTTTGAATTCGGGTTTTGTTGTAAGGCTTTTCCACTAGTTGAATGTTGCAAGCATTGTGAGTGTGGCTTGGAGCAGACGGCAGAAATTTCTATAATTCAGCAATTTTCTTGCTTAGAAATTATTGAGACAAAGAATTTTTCGAGAACTTTTTAAATGTGTTCTGTTTTTAAGGTTTTCAGCTTTATAGATTGATTATATTTCTAATCTTATATTCCCTCTCTCTATCATGTTTAGTTGATACGATGAAAATTTGAAAAATGTGTTGTATTTCATAAAAGATTTCATAAGTGATAAGTAAAACAGATTTTTTTATTAAAATATTATATATATAACAAAATCTGATAAATATTTCCAGGAAAGTCAAAATACATTCCAGTGTTTCTTCTGTGATAATATATATAGATTATATATTATATAAATATATATATTATATATAATATTACTCTTAATTTAACATAAATATACCTAGAAGCAGTTAAACTTAATAAGAAATTGAGATTATTCCGAGTTAAGATGACTAAGCTCTATGAAGTGGCATGAATTTCGAGAGCAATAAATTTAGATTCGAAGTTAAGCTAAGGCAAATAAGGTTACCTTGCATAAGTAAACTGAAACTCCTCGAATTCTCAAAGAGTTTAAGTCATTTTGACTTGCTATAGCTATCATAAAGAAAGTAGCAATGTTTCATTAGCATATATTTATGTGCTCCTAAGACAGTTCCCTCTAAGCTTCAAAGAGTTTGCTTGCAACTGGAATTTGTTTGCCAACAACTCGAATTGGATTAAGCTCGGCTCTCTAATTGGCGGCCTTTGAAATGCTTTATTTAAGATAGCTCTTCTTAGCCCTCGAACCCTGCACAGCATATGTAATCCAAGGGTTCTGCCGGCGTGTGCCGCTCATTAAGTGCCTCGACTCGAATCCTTTTCGAGCGCGGGCAAATTGTAAGACACGTTTAGCGACGCTGTGCCACGTACCCTTGGCAGACGGCCCACCTTTTGTGTAATTGCCATTTAATTGTTTGACGTCGCCTCGTTCTATATATATGTATATATTATATGTTGCTGCTGCTATTGTGTGTGTGCATAGAATTTGAAATTTTCTTTCATTATGTCGAGCAATTAGACTCTGGCAGCTGGCAGCTGGCAGCTGCCAAGTGACTTATTTACTGCAATTAGAGCGAGGTTTTTTATTTTGGGCCTATGCTGCACATAAATAATCCTCAAACCGGCCGGCAATCGAGAGCGAGACAGAGAGAGAGAGAGAGAGTGTGGGAGCAGCGCGCCTATTGATTTTATGAACGAGTTGCTGTTGCAGCTGCTGCAACTATTTTGAATGTTGCCGCCATGAGACAAACTATAAATCTGTCTGTGCCGGCATACACTATATACTACTATATAAAACACGAGGCTGCATACACACGCACACACATGAAATTTATCGATTGCCGCATACACACACTGGACAACAGAGCGGCGTGTGTCGACTGCTGCTGCTGCTGCTGCGTTGCTGTTGCTGATGTGTAGTAAAAATCGCTCGTATTTCATGCGGAAGTGACCACACACACACACACATGCATGCTCACGCATGCACTCACAAAATGGCCGCCCATGTGCGTCGTCGTCGTAGTAGTTGTCGTAGTAATTGTTGCAGCCGGCAACGAAACGATAAATGGATTGGTTTATTTAAATTTTACGTGCTCGTGCTGGAGCATCGTACGCAGCAGCAGCAGCAGCAGCAGCTTATGTGCAGCTGCCAGTTAACCAGTTACTAGCCCAATTTGTTGTTGTTGTTGTAGCCCTTTTATTTTGGCAAACAGCTGCAATGGCTCACATTGCGTATACGCAACGTGCGTATGCGCAATGTAAAACGTTTTCGTAGTAAACGAAAAAAAGCGGCGAATGCGTCGCAGTTGCTGTTGCTGTCATTAATTAGTTGTGCGGCAAGTTTCACTTTTTTGCTGTTGTTGTTGTTGCTGGGCGCCGACCCTAATCCATCATTTACCACAAAAGTCACGTACGGCGCAGGCAGCCTGAGCTTGAAAAGGAAACTTCCACTCGGAAGAAAGTTCATGTAACTTTAACACGCACACACACACATGCAAGAGCTCTCTCTGTCTGTGTGTGTGTCAGTTCTTATAACTGCCAAGTTTGTTGTAACAAATTAAGAAATCACTTTCGCGCCGCCAGCAAAATATGCGCACTGCAAGTTGCCTGCAAGCTGGCAGCTGCAGTGCTAATAATACCCTAACTGAATGCTGGCAGAGGGTATATCACATTGGCACTGTAGACAACTTTAATTAACTCTCATACAGTCGTCTCTAAGTAGAAGGCTATGCTAAACATATTATCAACAGGCTGACTCTTGTTTAACTCGAGCTGCTGTTACTATATAACATTATCTGATAAATCTTGAGCTGCTGTAACTGTATATAGCATTATATGATACATCTGTAACTGCTGATAAATATTTTGGGCACATTTCTTTTGGTGAGGGTATTTCGTAGCACATCATTCCGTTTTCATTCGCGCTTTAAAGCGCAAACCCCAGCTCGTAATGCTCCCTGCATTGCCTGTCAAAAGCGACAGCCTAAAAACAGACGCGACCCCAAAAAGTGTTGCACAAAACAAATGCCAAAAAGGTCGACGCCATCTAAATATGATATATGAATGGGCGCTGCCTGCTCCTGCGCCACACGTTTATTTTATGTAGTCCAATTGTGTATAACTGTAAATGTATATATAACATGCGATATATATATAGCCATAGCCATATCTGTTCGCTGGTAACGACCTGGCAAGCAAATTTTTGTGATTGGCGTGTGACATTTTCAGCGCAAAAGCTCACAAGCTGCCGGCCGGGTATTTAAAATTTTCGCATTTCTGTTTATGTCTGTCTAGAAACATTTGATTGATGTGCGAAGCGGGCCGGGGGAGGGGGAGGGGGAGGGAAGGACACGTGCACCATGGCTTGAGCCGAGGTGTCAAACAAGGTCTCAACCAAAAGGCGTTTGATGACAGACAGCGAAGCGTGAAAAGTTTAGCTTTTCATATAGTGTTCATGGGGAAGAAGAGTATATTAGTTCTTGAGTATTGTATGGAGCAGCTGGAGCTACCAAAATTTGATAATTAAGTTACTGCAGACTCGGCCATCTTCAGATTTACTACGAAAGTTTCAACTGTTCTTGGAAGTGAACGCGCATTACGCAGTCGCTAACGCCCGACTGCAACAGAAACAGTTGAAGCAGCTTACGCCGCGTGCGGCTTGGCGCTATGAAGTGGCATGAATTACGAGAGCGAGAAACTTTGATTTGAAGTTAAGCCAAGTCAAGTTGGAATACCTTAAACTAACTACAATTGCTTGCTGACAAAGCTCTTAGAATTCCCAAACAGTTGAAGCGCTGTTTGCCTTTAAAGCACTCTGTCATTTTCTCAACTGACTTTTGCCCCCTTCCAAGTCGAAATGGTTTTATATAGCAGGTAGGCACTTCTTGTGTCAAGAACACTATTGTTTCTGCACATTTGCCTGTGCCCTTAGCCAACTGTTCACTTATTTGGCAATAGCTTTTGCCCCTCTGCCACGCCCAGCTCCTGCTCATTTTTACTTAACCCAATATTTTGCTCGTTAGTCATGAGAGAAGCGAAGGAAAGGAAGAAAAAACAAAAGCCCAGCAGAGTGCGGCGTAGTAAAAGCCAAAGGCAAGGAAAAATCACTGAGCAGCAACAACAACAACAGCAACAGCAACAACAACTACTCAACGCTGGCATCAGCTGCGATGTGCAAAAAGTTTATGAC